TTTATCCAATAACTTGCAAGACAAGTTTAGAGGCAAAGGTACATGAACATGGGGAATGAATTATTATAATACTCGTTCATGTGTATTGAAATGGAATGAGTAAAGGGAGAATTAAAGTCTAATTATAAGACGAGGTTGATGATTTGAGGTGCCTTATGCACTTAAGATGTTTATACACCGAGGTAGTTAAAGGATTTAATAATAAATATTGTTTGTCGCTAATAAATCAAGAAGTGAATTGGAAATTTGAATTGTTTGAATGATTGATGTATGATTGGTTGTATTGTTTTGCATTTGAGTCATCACCAAATTTATACTTGTAAATCACGTAAAGTGCAAGATGGATGAGCAATAAAACTCTGGATTTGTGCACATCTAGAGTTATGACAAACAGGGTTGGGGTACATAGGGTATTAGTCGTGCACTTTTCTAGAGGTCGTCTAATCTACTAGTCTCTTGTTTTCAACTACTTTTTAAAATTATAAGGAGTTAGATGAGATCTCATACTAGCTATGGCCACGGAGTCGCGCCTGTCTGCCATTGGATGTTTATTGATGCTTCCGAAAGGAGGCATGGGTTTTTCCTTCCAAATTGGAGCATGGGGAGACAACCTTGTCTATTGCTAAATCCAATGAATGAAAAGAAATGAATTAATAACTATTAATTGATGAAGTCTTAGTATTGTTACCAGTTGAGCCGTGTGTATGAGTCAATAATTAATTTGTGTGTATGAATGATTATTAGTAGCATGCTAGGAATTCCTTATTATATTTCGTAGCTTGTGTGTACTCAGCCTTGCTGATTGCGTGCTTTTGTGTGTCTTTTTCCTGGTCATGGCCTTCTCCTTTTCAATGACCCTATAATGATCCAATTTTTACACTTGTAATATTGGGGAGCAGATTAATCACAGGTTTTACATAATCAGAACTTGCATCAAGGTGGTGGGATTTTGAATGGAGTGTTGGATATTTTCACAGTTTATTTCATTTCATAAGTTCGGATTTAATTTAACTCTGGTTTGATTTATTTACTACTTTTATTGGGTTTTGAATAAGGATCTTAATGGTTCCAACTTGTAAGGCTCAATTTGGTTTTGATTATTGGTTTTGAAACTTATTGATAACTGAGTTAGTTTTTCCGCTGCTAAATTTTGAACTAGCCTTAACGTTTGAATACGTGGCGGTAGCACGTTAGTAATTCTCTTGCAAATTGTTAAAGGTATTTACAGGTTTTTAAGAGAGAATTATTGGGGTGTTACAGTCAGCCGTTGAAATTATTTACTGTTTAACAAGAATAGGAGAGAGAAATTGTCAACCGATGATAATTTCTAATTAGTTGCCATTGTTTGAGCTCTGAGGTGCAGAAAGAATAGAGAGATTACTTGTGAGAAAAAAGAGCATAATTAATGAATCACCATTGATAGTTTTGGAGCTTTGATTTGCAGACAGAATAGAGGAGAGAGATAAAGCAGAGATTGAAGGTAACGAAATTTCAATATATACATAATTGTTAGGGAGGCTTTGGGTTATAATCTTAGCTGTTGGATTTGATCTAATCTAGAGGCTGAGATTTGTCCTCATATAAGGTGTGAGTTCTCACATAAAGGGTGGTTCTCGCCGGATCTCGACCCTATATATATATATATATTCCTTTTGCAAAAGCTAACGAGCGCCCTAGAGGTGTCATGTGGGTGTTAGATAAAAGAACTAATTAGCAAATTAGAGATTGTATCCAAAAATTATTTAACTAATAAAATTAACATTTTGTTTCATTTATTTTGAGTCTATATTTTGCCGATTTAAACCTTGTGTTTACAAATTTGTGTTTATAAATGTAGAAATATTAAAGTAATATTAACATTAATTACACTGATTAACGCTTGATTTTGTCATGCATTTCGAACTTAATACTATCTTAAGTAATATATTATTTAGTTATCTAACACCTCAGGGCGCTTGTTAGCAAGATCCTTTTCAATAATGAAAGAAAATAGGTGAATGGCTTGAAATACAAATAAACTAACATTTCTCAAAAGAAGAAAACACAAATAAACTAATGTCGAATCTATGTAGTGTTTCAAATTATGGTTATTAATAGATGTACTTCCTTATTTTTAGTTATTAATCTTGCTCTAAGTGTTACACGTAATGAACTAGTGGGGACTGGGGAATAGGGCCTTGTTCTTTTGAGCTGTTCTGATCTGCTGAAATTTGCTCTGCTCTCCTGAAATCTGCTCTGCCCTGTTCTACTCTACTCTGCCCTGGTCTGCTCTGCTTAAAAATAATAATAATAATAATAATAATTATTATTATTAATATTTAATATAACTAATATTTATAGTTAATAATAATAATGATGATGATGATGATGATGATGATGATGATGAAATCTGCTGTGCTCTGCTCTGCCCTGCTCTGCTCTGCTGAAATTTGCTCTGCTCTGCTATGCCCAGAAGCTCAAAAGAACAGGGCCTAGATGTGCTTCAATAAGTTAACTTATGGGCATTATAGGCTTATAGCTATGTTCTTTTGGACTAGATTAAACTTGACTAAATCAAGCTAAATCGAACTTAACTAAACTAAAATGAATGGAGCTAAGCTGAGTTTAACTGAATGAAGTGAAAATTTGAAAACTAAGTCTGATAGAATAGGTTCTATATATCTCTATATAAGGTTAATTGTAATCACTTTACAGATAGGCCGGATTCAGATAAATGTATGATATTTGATTATTTTCCCACTCTCATCTCTGTTATAGTTTTAGTAATGTCCACATTAACCCACTCACTAATAGACCACAATGGAGGATAATAATAAGACTCTCTCAATCTCTCTACTCACAATGAAAATAACCATGAAGCCCACAACTATGGAAAGTGACCAAATCTCAATGATGCATTCTATTGAGCTGTAAAAAAAATAACAGAGAGAATAACTTGACCCGCTTTCCAAAACCCACCCTCCATTGTTGATTTTTAAAAGGTTTATATTGGTTATTACCGGTAAAAAGCCCCAATCTTTGTTTCTAAATAATAATAATAATAATAATAATAATAATAATAATAATAATAATAATAATAAATTACATTTTGTTTGTTTGTTAGGTTTATAATAATGTTTTCTCCTTTTGAGAAAAAAATTCTCCCTCGAAATGAAGTGTTTTTAATTTCCTTCGAAAGACAAGTTTTTTTTTTCTTCCTTCGAAAGGCAAGATTATTCAACCTCCTTTAAATAGTAGATCTAATGAATTGTTGTAAAATTGTTTTGTTGCTAAAAAAAAAAAAAGTTGACTAAAATCTTTAATTTATTTGTGTAAGAATAATAACAAACAAACAAACAAACAAACACAAATAGGTTAAGGATTTTAGTAAGCTTTTTTAATTTTTTTTAATGCTGGTAATGAATAGTAAGGCCCTGTTCTTTTGAGTTGTTTTTCTCTGCTCTACTCTGCTGAAATTTGCTCTGCTCTGCCCTGTCATGCTCTTCTCTGCTTAAAAATAATAATTAATAATAATAATAATAATAAATATTTAATAAAAATAATAATAATTATTATTATTTAATAATAATAACTAATATTAATTGAGAATAATATTTAATAATTAATATTTAATAATAATTGATGTTTTATAATAATAAGAATTAATATATAATATTAATTGATAATAATAACTAATATTTAATGATAATGATTAATATTTTATATTATTTAACACATTTTCGAATGTTATAAAAAGAGTAAAAAAATCTTTAAAGAAATCAAATAATAATAATAATAATATTGCGATAATAATAATAATAATAATAATAATAATAATAATAATAATAAAATAATAATAATAATAATCTTGAAATCTACTCTACCTTGCTTTGCTCTGCTGAAATCTGATCTGCTCTGCCCTGCCCAGAAACTCAAAAGAATAGGGCCTTAGAGTGCAAATTAGTAAATTTGTGCCAAGAGTCCCTCCTAAGTCCTAATGATTATTAGTAGTATGTAGTAAATAGAGATAAATTTGGAAACCATGCATTAAAGAAAAAAAAAAACAAATATATCTTCTCATGCATGTCTTCTAGTTAATGCCTAACACTCTTGTTCTCTTCACCTAAAATAAAGTGTTCTGGGTTGATTTTAATAAGGCCTTATCCAATCGAATTTAATGTGATGTTTTTTTATCAAACTCTGACCCTTATTTTTATAATACTCCATAATATATAAGAAAATTTAGTCAAATGAGTTTTTGTTAAATTCGTCACATTGTGTACTTTTTAAATATATAATCTTTATTTACAAGTTACATATGCAATTAAATATATTAACAATATGTAAACTAACAAAATTTGAGAGTGGGGGAGAGCTAGCTCAATAGGTTAGAGCTTCCCGGCCTCCCAATTTCAGGGGTTAGAGCTCATCACTTACCCTTATGGCTTAACAAAAACAAACACAATAAGTAAATAAAATCTACAATATGATTTTTTATATTTTTGGTCTAATTTAATATGGCTTAAATGTGACAAAAATAAGCTTCTAAAATAAGTAGAAGAGAACAATCCCCTATATTTTGCTAAATCGAGCATGCAACTAAGCATACATTCTTCCAGTCGGACATATGTAGATGCATACCACTAATTAAAGAGGAGAAAAAAAATAACAACTAACAAACAACTTTACGAGGGAAATAAAAACTAACAAACAACTTTATCGGACTGAAAACAAACAACTTTATCTGACCAAATACAAAAATTGTATTTCTTATTTTCAACAATTACCATCGGTAAAAAAATACAACCTCAATAACGTATAATTATGGTAGATTAGAAGAGAGAACAAGTAAGAGAAAGAGTGGATATTAGAAAGATCGTGCACCAACGTTGAAAAGGTCCTAAACCATAAAAGACAAAAAAGGCTTGAAGTATTCCATAGTCGAAAATAGTAGTTCATAAAAAGCTAACCTACTCCCTCAATGTAGAACTATGTTTAATCACACATAAATACTATGTAAATCATCATTATAAATCTACTTACTATAGAAATGTCTTGTTCACACTTGTACAAAAGATAAGGTAGGAATCTAGACACGATTGCATTAAAAAATAATGAACAAAAGAATTTTCTAAACAGAAATAAAATAAAGTAAAATTATTAGAGAAAAAATTAGCCAATATGCCTTCCTACCTTGACCCATTTCAAAATTCCTCTCTTACCGCATGCTTTGACCACTTTGACTTTTCTACTACTTTTTTTTTTTTTTTTTTTTTTTGGTGGCTGCCCTTTATATATCTTTCTCTCTATATATTTCTCTAATAACCTTTTTTTTCCCTTAAATCTCAAAAAGAAAAAATAATAATAATAATAATTTTTAAAATTTAATTTTCTTCACTATCAAGAATATTCAAAATTTTCTTTCCACATTATACTAAACACTGTCACTATATAATTTTTTTTTTTTTTTGCATGTACTTATTATAGACACAAAGATACAATAATTTGTTGGGAAGTCATTTCAAAGCTAATAGTGGTCTTATATATTTTCATTTTCAAAATCATTGTATACTTTTTCATCATATTTTTATTTATTTAGACTCGAAATTTGTGAATATAACAGATTCGCGAGTACTTTAATACTTTTCAAACTATCATACCTTTCCATAGAATTTTCATTTTTCATTACCAACAAACAAACAACCTTGCTCTTCTTTCATTGGTATTAATTGTAGTAGTCTTATTGCTTAGTTGATAATTGACAACTACCCTACTGAAATTGTTTTGCATAATACATTATGCAAGTTCATTCATTCGAATGGACTCGGTCTTCCAACTCGGTAATGGAGACCGAGTTAGCTATCTCTGTAGTCTGATGCAATCCTTTGGTGCCTCCTACATTTGCCTTTGGACCTATTCACCTGATCTCAAGTACGTACATAATACTATATCTTATACTTCATCTATGTTTTCGTTTTTTTTTTGTTTTTTTTTTTTTATAGAGTATAAAACATTAGCTTACGCTTTTGGTTGAGTTGATCCTTTAACATTTTCTCATTACATCTTTCTTGTTACATGAACTTTCTGCTACATACATATATATATCATTTTAATTTGTTTTTTGGGTAGCAGATTTTTGTACTGTGAAGACGGGCACTTCCAAGAAGAGGCGAGTTCTTCGACTGGAGGAGTATCATCAATTTCTCTACGACTCTTTAACGAGTACAAACATTCTGTTTTTCCTGTTGGGAATGAGTATGATTACTTCTTAGCTTTTTCATTCATTATTACAGTAATTTCTGTAGTTTATTTTATACGAATTAAATAAAATGACATGGTTTTGATTAAATAATTTTTTTTGCTGATCATGTACATAACAGCCTTGTCCCAGGACTTGCATTCAGAGATAAAATTCTCAGTTTAAAGCTGCAGGAGATAGATCTTCAACGCCTCGCATCAATCGAAACACAGCGTCGATTCTACAAGGTAATGAAGAATTTTCTTACCTTAAGTGTTTATAGCGTCTAATTCATCATGCAAAGTACTACAGTAAATTCTTAATTCTGAATTGAATTTTCAGTAAGTACTATTTAGTTAGGAACTAATTTCTTTTTCCATTTTTACTTGTTTTATAGGAAGCAAATATAAAGGTTCGTCGTTGAAGGGATTTCATGATATAATCACACCATTATTATTTCTTCTCTTTGTGTTAATCTTCTCTCTTAATAACATTCTCGTATATATTAATTTATTATTACAACAGTTGTTTATATTTTTTGTATGAATTGATGCAGACTGCGGTATTCTTTGGTTGTAAGAGAGGTGAGATTGAACTCGGCATGTCCAATAATCAACAAGTAAGTCCGCATCAAAATCACCCAAATGTCACCCCTTTACAAAGTTATTTTACTTTTATGTGAATACGTGATTTGAACTTACTAAGCATTATTGCATGTTATATACCATACACTTGTGTACATATACAATTTATGTTCTTTAAACGCTGCAACACTAAATGACATAATCAACTACATAGTAGCATTACATTATTTTACATGTGATATTATGTGTAAAATATATATATGATGGTATTATAATCTAATTAATATTTTTATGTTTGATAATAGAATTTGGAGATGAAGATACAAAACTTATTTTCGGCAATGGAGTTTCCGAGGCCAACAGATCAACAACAAAACAAGCCTTCATCCTCTTCTTCTCAATCAATGGATAGTCCCGAATACACCTCACTCTTTTACAACTTCGCGAGTTCTTCAAGCTTTCACCTTCAACCAGAACAACCTGCAGCTGTTATTAGGGAGACTCATCCTAGCATAATTAATCAACATAGGACAACAAACACGCAATCGATCCCTATTACAGCGAAGACAGCAACAAATACTGCAACATCTTCTGTTAATGCTTCTCATCTTCAACATCCTTTGCTACAAAACATTCCTTTCCCTACAGCAGAAACCACTGATGCCGCCTTAACAAAGGCGTACTTAGCAATCTTGTCATCTCCTTCTTCATCATCAACTGGTGGTGAGAAAAGTTGTCTTCCATATGGTTTTCAAGTAAGGCAAAGGGCAAGTGCTTTTACGAGTTATCAAAGCCCGTCTTCTACTCAGAAGAGGCTTGATTTGAGGAGGCAAACCTTGCTAAAAGGCGCTATTGCCTTCTATAGAGGGATACATTTTAGGAGGATTCAAGAGCTTTCGTTACAAGGGTCCGGTCGCCCTACTAGCAATCAGTTGCACCACATGATATCTGAAAGGAAAAGAAGAGAAAAAATCAATGAAAGTTTCCAAGCTTTAAGATCCTTGCTCCCTCCCGGCACCAAGGTTAGAACACAAGCCTTAATTTCGTGAAAATTCTATGGTAGTCATCCTTAAAATAACTACAATCTTATGATACAAGTATAACTAATATAATGTTGCATGCATGAATTATTATTTACAGAAAGACAAAGCATCAGTATTAAGAACTACAAAAGAGTACTTAAGCTCTTTGAAAGCTCAACTCTCGGAGCTTAATAAGAGGAACCAACTCATGGAGGCACAACTCATAACGAGGAACGAGCCTACATCACCAAATACAACAAGTTTAGACGTCTCAACCAACGAAAGAGTAACGGTTAGGGTTACGCCGGTCTCAGAATCAACATCAAGAGAAAGAATGGTGGACTTGCAAGTAATATTGAGGATGGAAACTTCGGTACCAGATTTGGTTATTAGAGTGTTAGAGTTTCTTAAGCAAGTCAAAGAAGCAACAATGGTGTCAATGGAAGCTCAAACTCATCAAGAAACTACATCAACTAATAATCAATTTCCTACAAATTGGGTCACATTTAGGCTGAGAATTGAGGTACTAATAACGTATACAAGTATATTTATTTTTGTTTTTATTTGCATGCATGCAGTTAATTAATTAATTATGATTATTATTGCATGTTAAATATTTAGTATTAGATCTACGTCGTATAAATACTCTATTTTGCAATGCATTCAAGTTGGCAATATATTAGTAAGTGCATTATTCAATTGTAGTTTGAATAATAAATCTAGAAGTCTAGAATATTTATAAGTTCGGTAAGCAATATGAACTCACTTGTTATATATAATTTATGGTAAGGTGGTACATAGTTGATGGTTTAATTTTTTATGTGTTGCATATAATTTATGGTAAGGTGGTACGTATTTGATGGTTTAATTTTTTATGTGTTGCATATAATTTATAATAAGGCGGTACGTAGTTGACGGTTTAATACAAGAGAAATGACAATATGCATTTCGATTAATACAAGAGTTTGAACGATATAACAGGGGTTAGTGAGAAGAGACTTAACCTATGTAAGAGAGTTTTTTTTTTCAAATTTGGAGGGGTAGATGAGATTCGAACCCGTGATTTTTTTGTCACGCTGGCTCTTAATACCATGTTAAATGACCAATTCAACCAAAAGATTAAGCTGATGATTGAGGAGACCCAGGAATATGTATCAATATCAATAAAAAGAAAAAGAAAGTTTAAATAGTAACAAATAATTATTTGAAGTCGAATGGAGTACGTAGTATTATATTACTCGGGAAATAAATAGTTAAATGAGTTCTATGTATATATTCAAATGATATCAAAAAAATGTATTGATGCATCAAGTTGGTGATAAAATACAGCAAACTGTACTTTAATTTATAGTTTGAATAATTCTAGAATGAAGTATAGAATAGCTGCTTTTATTAGATAGTTGATGGTGAAAATAACTTGTAGCAAAGTGTTAGCTGATGGTGGGTACTTTGTTTTGCATAAGTTATGTTAATTAGTATCTTAATTGAGGGATAATTAAACTATAAAGTTGAAGTGTTGAACAAATCAGATTTATTTTGACTTAGTCTTCTGAGGGGGCGGGGGAGGTCCAATTTCGTGGACTGAATTGAAGGAATATTGTAAGGACTGAGTTTGGAGTTTTATTTGAGTTCAGCTAATGTTGAGTCTCGGTCGTCTTAAATTCCGAATCATCAAGTACTCATATGTTATATAAGATGTCTCTAAACGTTGTCGTCAATATAGATACGAGGTATAAGTTAAGATACGTGACTTTTTTAAAAGATTAGTTTGCTCAAATCTAGAGTATCTCTAATAAACGTAATGATTATCGAAACCACATGTGATCAGACTTGTCACACCGACATGATTTTCAGGTACTTCATTTGTCAGCTACAATCTATTCATAATGGTGAGATGTAACATAAATAACTTATAAATAACTTCACATATCAATCACAAATAAGCCAATGGTTGTGTTTCCTTTTTTTTAATTGAATGCAATGGTCAAACAACTTCCATGCAACTAGAGAATTGCAAGCTACAACAAAAATGCACCATTGAAATTGCCCTAATACGGATAGTACGTGTTGAAAAATTCTTTTTTGTAAATTATGGCATATCCCACATTAACAATCTGTGGGATTAGGGTAACGTAACAATCAAATCTGTAGAGAGGGATTAGAAGTAATATATATTCTATACTATAATGGCAAAGCTTAAATAGTTTACATACAAAAATACCTTAGCTTATGCTATAGGAGCTGAATAATAATACTCGTATTTACTAAGCAAAACTTGACCTGGACTAGTACGTAGTTAATGTTTGACAAATTGATCGGCTTCAAGTCATGAGATCAAACCTCCTAAGGGGCTTTTGGGGATTTAAATTTCAGCCTTTATCCTCTCCTCCCCTCCAAAGAGATATGATCCTTTTGAAGCATATCAAGGGGATCAATGTGAAGTTAGTCCATCGTGGTCATTAAGTCATTAACCTTACCTAAAACCTAATAAGAAAATTGAGTGTAAACATTATTATTAGTTTCGTCCAAAATTTGTCTAATTTTATTATTAGAAGATTGATACTATCTTTGTTATTTTGATACGTTATCATTTGTCTATTTTTCGCATTTTTCAATGCATTATTTGAACATCAATAAATTCATATCTTTGAATTTTATTAAAAAAATTTAATATAATGATATTTTGAAATCACTTATCAAATGATCGAATAAAAAAGGATCCCAAATAAACGTAGCTTCTCTAATATATTTATTGAGAGAAGATTAAGTTCAATTTTTATCAAATTCTATTTTTAAAAAAAAAATAAATAAATAAATAGTTGGGAGCAACATTAAGATTCAAAGGTCGTATACTATGCTTCGTAGATACTCTAATCCTTATAAAATCAAAGTTAGACATTTGAATAATGTCGAAAGTCGAAAAAAAAAATGCACACAAATAATTAAAAAGGGATAATTAGTGTTCATTAATTATCTTTATTACACGAGATGAGCCATAAGTAGTCAAAAGAAGTTGTCCTTGTAACCAAATATATAGTACGTAGCGTTTTTTCAGCATTTCCATTTTATGAATTATATTTGGTTTGATGAAGAAATACTATAAATGACTGATCAGTCTTCACGCCAAAAATGACCATATAATATGTTTATTTGTCTAGTAATTTATGCATGTGATTTGTTAGTACTTTATTAAACTAATAATTAATTAAGGAAATCATCAAAAATTGACCCTTCATGCTTAAATTACTTGTATATATGTAGGGAGAAGAATGGGATGAATCTGCTTTCATTGAAGCAATCCGAAGACTTCTTGCTGATTTGGCCTCTTGACGTCATTGACAATAACATTATTTTGTCATTTTGATTGCTAGCAATTACACCCATTCATTCAACAACATTTTTAGGGTGGTGTTAGTATTTAATTCCTCATAAGCGATTATGACTACAAATTATTATTTCATATAATTGAGAGTATTTTTTTTAGGATAGCGATTTTGATTCAATGTGTGAATTAAACATGAGCAACATGCCAACATGTGTCCTTCCAAGCACACATATACATTGTGACGTTGTTAGACCTCCTAAACTCATCACCATATATTTGCATTGTTATAATGTAACAATTATACATGTAATTAAGGGGGAATTTCTTGTATAACAACTAGGAGTAACTTTTTAGTAAGTGGGGCCTTTAACTCTTTATTGACATACTCGATCAAAATCATAGCTTAACATTCAAATTAATTAGCATTTAAATTATTAATATATATATTTTTTTTTTAATCGCAACGTATTCTTTTTAAAAAGTTGTATATTAATTGCAGCAGTACTTCTTTTGATCAAGGATTCTAGCTATCTTTGTTTCATTACTTGGGTCTTTCTTTTTATCTCTCTCTATCTTTATCCTCTCCTAAGATGAATATTGTGCATCCCCTCCACAACGCAATTAAGAGAGAATGGATGGAGTCTTTTTTCATCATATTTTAGCGAAAAAGGATAGAGTAGGGTTTATTTGAACAAATTTCTGAGCAAATTTTCGTCATCAATGTCTCCTTATAATAAGAAGGCAATTACTATGAATAGGGACTTGGAAAAGGTTCATCGAGTTTCAATCACAAGTCTTTGTCACATAAGTTATATTGTTATGTAATGTTTACATCACCTTATTTTCACCTCTAAATTTCAAGAAAATAAGTTTAGAAAAAGCAATTAAATAAGTTTGAAAAAACAATTAGATGATTCAAGATCAACAAAAATTCCAGGTACAGTTCTACAAATTAAATAAGTGAATATTGAAAGATGGAATTGCATATATGGTTACAATTATAGTTCATTGTCATTATTCAGACTTTAAAACAAACAAACAAAAAATTGCGATCCATCCTCTCCATTTATCTTATATTCTCATCACTTGAAAAAATTAACATTTTTGTCATTCATGACATTAATTTGTGGCCAATCATTTTAACTATTTTAATTTTAATATAAATAAATAAATGAAATTAATACAAAATCTGGATAGATTATATTTTTAATTATCAATAAGTAAAAGGAAAAATTAACATAAATAATCCGAACTATGAGGTGTCTTTCCATTAACCTCAACTATTATTTAACCTTGAATAATCCTAATTATACACTAACCCTTCCCTAATTAATCTTTATCATTAAATTACTTATTTAGCCGGTAAACTTCATAAATTCTTGCTTTCTTTTTTCATTTTCCTGTCTTCTTTCTTTCTTTATATCTATTCATGGATTATACCACCATTAATCATCTTCAAGCTTTTTTCTCTTTTTTTTTCTCCTTTATTCTTAGATAATCCTTCCTGCTTCCCTTAATATTTTTTTTTTCTCTTATTCCATCTTTTCTGAACACAACTTTTTCTAGATGTAATTCCTTTTGCCTTTTATTTCTTTAAATACAAGATCCTACACGTCGGGATACATTGTGAAATGTCATTACAATATTCCATCAATCATCAAAGTGTAGTTAGCCATGGAGAAAATGTCGAATCGAATTTTATGAATGCTCATTTTAGTCGTTACGTATTTCGACTTATGAATTTATCATATTATTTATGCTTCTAAACTTTGAAGAAAATATTGTTAAATCCCTTTTTTTGCTGTTTAAGAAAGGAGATTGTGGGTTATTTTTGCAATTGTATGTAATGTATAACAGTTAGTGGACTTAGACGTAAGAAAAACCTTTGTTTTTTTTTTTTTCTAGATTTTTGTTAGACAAGTAATTCATATGTTACCCCTGTAAGTGATTGCAAAGGAATGAAGTTATATGAACTAATCTAAATGGATTTATAGATATGATGAATTGTAAATAAGAAAGTATACACAACTAGCATAACATTTATTCATAATTTTGCTTAAACTGTCAAAATGAGACAACTTTTGGTACCAAAATCTAAAACGTTTAAATCTACATTGTTCACTAAGAATAAAATGCACTCCAACGTAATTCAGTCCACATATTCTTCTCCACCAAAATATTCAATTAACAATATGTTGCAGAGACTTGACTTGCAATTATGGTGCCGAGGCAACAAAAGAGGTGTGCGAACGACTTATGAATGCATTCCCGTCATTATCAAATCTAACTCCTACGCCTTCGTGTACCTAGGGGTGTACACCGGTCCAAAATCGGACCGGACCTAGATCGGACCTGTTTGGACCGAGGACCTGAATTAGGGAATTTTGAGGACCAGGGACCGGACCTGATTCAACAGGTCTGGTTCCGGGTCAGACCTGAAAAATCAGGTCCGGTCGGGTTTGGACCTAAATGGACTTGTTATGTGATTTTTTCGTTTTTTTTTTTAATAAATAACCTGTTGGACCTGCATATGGACCTGTTTTGTGATTTTTAGACCTGTTGCATAATTTAATAATTACATACAAACCCAAATTATCAATCACAAAACTACATAAAGTCTATAAAGTCCCAATTTCCAAACACCAAAAATACAAATAAGTCCACCGAAAATACAAATGAGTCCACGAAAACTCATAACATTACATAAAGTCTCTTAAGTCTCAAGTACTAGAAATACATAAATTCTCCAAGGACAACTTGAATTTTGACGAGTTGTTTTCCCTTTGATTGCGTGATTCACACTAATGAGTCCACGAAAACAACTTCATCGTCTACATCGTTAGATTCACCACGTTGCACCTCTAAATAAAAAACAATATAGAATATATTAATGATTGATAACAATGAAATAATAAATTTGGTGTAACAAAATTTCAAGTACATAAAATTAATACTACCTTTCTCTATTTCCTCTAACTCTTTCAAATTTTCTTCCACATCAACGATTGGCACTCCCTTAGCTCTAAGCCAATCTTGTGTGCAAAGCAGCGCTTGAACCATCTTTAATACAAAAGTATTACATATATATGTATAAACAAAGTCATATTTAGATATAAACAAACTTGATTTTATAAAATAAAAAGATAAAGATGCATTACCTTTAGGAGTTAAAGAACTCCGAAATGGATCTAGAGTATGACCTCTCGTACTAAAAGCAGATTCCAATGCAACGGTCGACAATGGGATGGCCAGTATGTCACGTGCCATGCGATTAAGAATCACATAACGCTGACCATTCTTACCCCACCATGTCAATGCATCTTGTTCTTCCTCCTCCAGCCCTAATTGATCATTTAAGTACCTATCCAACTCACTTATCGCATACCCACTTGTCCCCTTCAATCGTGTTGCTCTTTCTTTTAGTTTCTTCACATAATCGGAACGCACTCCTATACTATTATCAATATCCATTGACATATTATCTCCACAATCTGGAATATTAGAAGTAGCATACATTTTTCTATATTCCTCAAATTAAGAGTAAGTGAACTCCTTCACATCATTAGCAAGTTTCATACCCTTTTCCGGTCCATGCATATCCATTAGTGTCAATTCAACAATTACCATCTTAGAGTGAGGGTCGAGAAGAAGAGCAACGTAAATGAACTTATTCATTTTATCCACATCCCCCCAATACTTATCAATCTTTTTTTTCATTGCAGTGGCCATAGCTTGAAAATTCAAGTCCCCACTTTATTCCCAATTATTCAACATATCATACATAGAAGCAATTTCTCCTAAACCTTTATTAGCTGTCACATAATGGGAACCAAAAATTCATTTAGTCAACACATAAAACCCCTCTAGAAACAAAACCAACCTCTCCACTTTTACCCAATCTTCGGGTTCGGGAGGCCTTTTATTGTCATTCAAATCCTCTCCATCAGGAAGAGATAACCCACTAAAAACACGTCGAAACTTCAAAGTCGTTTCCAACATTATGTATGTGGAGTTCCAACGAGTGGGGACATCAAAGGATAAAGAAGATTTTGAATCTATGTTTGCTTTTTGCACAAGATCTTTGAATCTAAGTATTCTTGCAGGGGAATTATTAACATATTTCACAGCATTTCTAACTCTATCAATGCACACACCATGCTCGCTAATACCATCCCACACAATTAAGTTAATGATATGAGCAATACATCTAACATGAAGATTTTTTCCATCATTAACACATCCTGTTCTTCTAACCATTATACTCAAGTGTGCACAAGCAACATCATTTGAAGAAGCATTATCAACAGTGACAGTAAAAAGTTTATCATCAATACCCCAATACTCTAAACATGCCTCAACTACTTTTCCAATAGCCTCTCCTTTATGACTAGAAATTGGACAAAAATTTATGATATTTTTATTCAATTTCCAGTCATTATCAATGAAATGAGCTGTAAGACACATATAATTAATTCTTTGTATTGAAGTCCAAGTATCAGTGGTCACAGAAATTCTTTGACATGTCTTAAACATTTCTCTCAATTTCTCTTTTTCACTATAATACAACTTTAAACAATCACAAGCAATGGTAACACGAGATGGAATGTGAATTTGTGGACATGCAACTTGCACAAAGTGCCTAAAACCAGGTTTTTCCACATGCTTAAATGGTAACTCATCAACAATAATCATGTGAATCAATGCCTTTCTAACATCATTCAAGTTAATAATCCTACTCCCACACTTTAATTCACCACTCTCATGTTCTTGACCAAAATACAATTTAGTTTGCTTTTCTTTGCCCTTTTCTTTTTCTATATTAACAAGATTACCAAGACATGATTCAGCATGGTTTTTAATATTTTTTGAACCATTAAGATTACCATCAACAGCAAAATTTTTAGGACAAAACTTACATTCAGCTCGTAGTTTTCCATTCTCGACGTACTCTAAGTAATATTTCCAATACTCAGCTTTCCTCTTACTTTTTCTGTTCCATATATATTCCCGCCCCGCTTTAGCTTCTTATCAGGAGGCAAAGTAGATTGCAATTCTTCCATATCCTTTTCAGAAAGTGGTTGTGACGTTTGTTCAGAAAAAGAAGCAGACATTTTGGATTGAGAGCTCTCCATCTACAATATAATTATATACAATATAAGTAATTTTAAAGTAACAATTATATACACATACCATTTTATAAAAAAAAAAAATTAAGAACAACTTACATTGCAAGAATAAGAATCTGTGGTTCCTTCA